GGGGTGGCCCCTGTGTCCATCCCCCCGGGCTTTTGTTTTTTTTTTTGTTTTTTTTTTGCTTTAAGTTTTATAGAAAGATTTCTTCACAGCAGCACTGGAGGTGGCTGGGCAAGTCATGTTGTACCCATTTCCCGGAGGAGGTTCAGCATGGTTAAGTGGGGCCACCCAGTGAAGAAATTCTGAGCCTGGTTCTGTTCTCTGTTCAGGGGTTCCCAGCTCCCTGGTCCCAGGCCCTTCCTTGAGCTTTCGAGCTTAGCTTCTTGGATTCATCTCTGGGGTGGGCGGGGTGCCTTCCTTCCAAGCTTCCTGGGAGCAGGAATGGTGGGGGTCCTGCTTCCTGGGGCCTGACACACGGAGCTCTCAATCCCAGGCACCGAGAGGCGGCAGGTGGTACTGCCATTGTTGTGCTGGGACCGGGTGTCCCTAGCTCCCCATCCTCAGCAGAGCAGCCGTGATGGACTCCCCAAGGTGCCCATCTGCCGGGCTGTACAGCTGCCGGGCGGGGCTGTGTCCAGGACCCTCCAGCCAGGGCCACTTACAAAGCTCCCACTGTGTGTCTCGAGCTCAGGGACCTTGCAGTCCGGCAGGAGTGAGATGGAATAAAAGGCCAGTGTGCATAACTGGAATACAGGAGTGCGCTGGAGAGGCCTGAGACAGGGTGCCTCGGAGGGGGCGTTTGTCTGCTGAGACAGCCGCGGCAGCAGATCGTTTTGAAATTTATTTTAAATGGATGAGAACCAGCGGAAGCCAAGGAGGGAATATGGGGCGTTTAAAAAAATAGTTTGGTTGTTGAGTTGTTTCAGTTGTGCCCAAGTCCTTGTGACCCCGTTGGGGTTTTCTTGGCAAAGATACTGGCTGGTTTGCCATTTCCTTCTCCAGCTCACTTTACAGATGAGGAAACTGAGGCAAACAGAGTGAAGCGCCTTGCCCAGGGTCAGACAAGCTAGTGTCTAAGGCAGAATTTGAAAGCAGAACTACGTGACCCCAGGCCCAGCACTCTATCCACTGCACCACCTAGCCGCCCCATTTAAATAGTTGGATGTATAATAAAAGGCCCTGCTCTTGGAGTTAGATCTAGGTTCTGCCCTATGGCCTCTCTTTAGGGCTCAGTTTCCTTCTCAGTGAAATGGGGGGGGTTAGATTAGATGACCTTTGAGGGCCTATGGAGCTCTGGATCCAGGAGCCCAAGATACTGCGGGGTGTGACGCCCTCTCCCAGGACTGGCCCTACACTTAGGTGGAGTAGGAAGCCACCTCCGTGGGGATAGCAGTACTAAGAAAGCCTTGCCACCCGCCACCAAGGAGGTGATAGGCCCTTACTCCCCTCCCGTGCTACATCCTGCGAGTCTCAGGCCCAGAAGGCTGGACGTGCAGTTTGCCTCTGTCTGCACCAGCAGCAGCTTCGGGGCAGCACCGGGGCTCGTTGGGCCAGGGTTCTGCCGCTGGAGTTTCTGGACCTCTCTCAGGAACGGCTGGTTCTGGTGGTTCTGGTGGAAGCTTTGATGCAGGCTCTGAAAGGAGGTGACCCAAGCAGCACTGGAAAGAGCGGAGCTGAGATTCAAACCCACGCCCTCTGCCTCGCCCGCAGGGCTCTTTCTGCCACGCATGCATAGAGGGGCGCAGAGGGGCATAGAGGAGCGCAGAGGAGCACAGAGGAGCGCAGAGGGGCACGGGGGCACAGAGGGGCATAGAGGAGCGCAGAGGGGCATAGAGGGGCGCAGAGGGGCATAGAGGGGCGCAGAGGGGCATAGAGGAGCACAGAGGGGCGCAGAGGAACGCAGGCTTACGCCCAAAGAGACCATGGAGGTCATTCAAGCCAAGCCTCCATTTTTTTTTTTCAAGAGGCAATGTGAGTTAAATAACTTGCCCAGGTTCACACAGCTAGCTAGTAAGTGTCTGAGGTCAGATTTGAACTCAGGTCCTCCTGACTCCAGGGCCAGTGCTCTATCCACTGCACCAACTAGCTGCCCCCATTTTTTTTTAAGAGGCAATGGGGGTTAAGTGACTTGCCCAGGGTCACACAGCTAGCTAGTAAGCATCTGAGGTCAGTTTTGAACTCATGTCCTCGTGACTCCAGGGCTGGTGCTCTATCCACTGCACCACCTAGCTACCCCTCCAAGCCCCTATTTTTACAGATGAGGAAATTGAGGCCCAGAGAATTTAAGGGACTGGCCCAAGGTCACTGAGTGCCAGAGCCAGAATTTGAACCCTTCATAGAAGGGCCTGTGACGCTTCTTGTATTCCTGGGTTGAGCCAGCCTGGAGGAGACCGTGGGTCCAAGCATCAGGAGGTGTAGGGGGTCCTGGAAAGGAGGGGGTGGCACTTACCCCGACATCTTCTGCCAGCATTCTCCCACGTGGTGGAGAACACTGCCTTCTTCGGCGACGTCGTGCTCCGCTTTCCTAAGATCGTCCATCACTACTTTGACCGAAATTCCAACTGGAACCATCTCATTCGCTGGGGCATCAGCTTCTGCAACCAAACGGGCGTCTTTGACCAGGGCACCTACTCCCAGCTTCTGGGCCTGGTGAGTCGGGGCGGGGGGGTGGGGCCCAGACCGCCATCTTCTCCACCACGTGGGCTTATCCAGGGGCCCCTTCCCTGCATCACCCAAGGATCCAGCCCCTCCCCCCAATTCTGGGTCTCCTTTGACCCCAGTCTCCTCCTCTCCCTCCTCATCCCTTCTGCTGCGGGACGTGGAATCGAGGGGCATGACTGGCCTCTCTCCCAGCTCAGGTCTGGAGTCACGCATGCAGCGGCTAATAAAGCTTGGATTTGTTTGGTGCCGTAAGGGCTAAATCCTGGCTCTACCACAGTCCCCATTTTACAGATGAGGAGACTGAGAGCTAAAGGCAAAGAACAGGTGGGAAGATAAGGAGTCTGTGTTTGACCTCTGCTAATTACTAGCTGTGATTCGAACCCAGGTCCCTGCCTCCCGCAGCGGTGGCCTTCCTGCCTCTTATGGAAGGACTTCTGCTATTTATTAGCTGTGGGATTCTGGGCAAGTCACCTTCCCTCTCTGTGCCTCAGTTTCCTTGTTTGTACAATGAGGAGGTTGGACAGGGTGGCCTCTGAGGGCCTTCCTGGCCCTAGGCTGTGAGATCCTATGACCTGCCTGAAGTCACAGAGCCGGTAAATGTCAGGGTTGGGATTCGAACCCGTGTCCTGACCCCAAGCCTAGAACCATTTCCATTGCCCCATGATGCTTCCCAGTGTACGTTTACTAGGTGCAGACTCTGCTTGGAGGCCCCTGGCTGGGCTCTGCCTGCACGGACGAGTCTAGGCTCCTGGGCCTAGAACATCTTCTGCTGCCTGGCCCAGCTTCCCTGCCCTCTGGTGCCCTCTGTCCCCTCCTCTCAGCTGGAGTGAGCCCCTCCCCCCCCGCTCCCCCCCCCCGGGTCTCCGGCCCGTCCCCTTGGCCCCCCCCCCCTCTGATCCCCACCCCTGGGTCTCAGGCCTGTCCCTTTGGCCCCTCCCCCCTCTGATCCCCACCCCTGGGTCTCAGGCCTGTCCCTTTGGCCCCTCCCCCTCTGATCCCCACCCCTGGGTCTCAGGCCTGTCCCTTTGGCCCCTCCCCACTCTGATCCCCACCCCTGGGTCTCAGGCCTGTCCCTTTAGCACCTCTCCCCTCCCCTATTGGGATCCCTGGGCCCTGCTCCCCTGGCCTTCCCCCGCCTTCCAGCCTCCCTCCCCCAAGCTTATTAGGGTTATCATCCTGCATTTACTTGCTGGGCCTACACCCCTTCCCTCACTTCTTTATCCTTTGTATTCATGGATGTGCAGATTTTAATAGATAAATGGGGAGGGTCACCTGAGTTGAGGGGCCACTTTTAGGGCTGGGGATCTTTTAGGAACATCTTCACTTGAATCAAGTCAGAAGGGGAGAGATGGGCCCACAGATGGGAGCAGAAGAGAGGGCAGGTAAACTGAGGCAGACAGACTTAATGATGCTCGTTTGTTCTTGTGACCGTCAGATGGTTCAGGAGCTGGGGATTGGTGAGAGATCCCCAGATTACAGGAACCCCTTTACAACAGACCACTCAGAGGTGAGTGGGGGGGGGCGGGACTTGTGTACTGGGCTGTCGGGCCAGGCTTGCCCTCCCATGTGGGCTGTGGGGGAGTGAGGGTGGGGAGGGGCCGAGAGAATTATTTTTTAAAAAAAGAGAGTTCATTGACTCCAGTTCCCTTCAGGTTAAAGCCCCCTGAATAGGGGATAGTGAGGGAGCTGTGACTTCGTGGAGAGCTCCCGCAGGAGGGCATCCCTCCACCAAACCAGGGCTGGACCTTCTCTGTAGCTGCTGGTCCTTGAGAATTGCCCAGAGCCCAGAGAGGGTTGGTGACTGGCCCAGTGTGTGACAGAGCGGGGCTTCACCCCAGGGGTGCCGCTGGGGGGGCCTGTCTGCCTCGCTTCCTTTGGGGAAGGCTACTGGCGTTAATAAGCCCAGCCTCTTCTCAGGAGGGGAAGTCCAGGGGTCAGCCCCGAAGCTGACCACCTCTTCTTTCCACTGGTAGTCCTTCCAGGGTACTGACCCCTTCCAGAAGGCCCTGAAGGAAGAGGAGCGGCGCCGGAGGAAAGAGGAGAAACGGAAGGAGATCCGGAAGGGCCCCCGAATCTCTCGCTCCCAGTCGGAGTTATAGCCCGGGGCTTGCTCCCAGACTGGCAGGGCTAGGCTTCCAGAAGAGGAGGGGATGGTGTGTGAAGGACGGGCTCCCCTGCTTTTGGAGACTGCCTCTTACCTCAGGTGGATGGAGGACCTCCTGGCCCCCACCTGGGGACTCAGGCATCCCACTGCTTCCCAAGGGGGCAGACAGCCGAGAAAGAGCACTTCAACTTGAAGTGAGGACCAGAGGTCCCTGGGGGAGTGAGGACTCCACACCAGAAGGGCCCCATGCTGCCCCTTTCAAGCCCAGGACCTTAAGAAGCCCATTTCTCCCTGCAGAAAGTCTCACTCTGCCAACCAAAGAAGTGGGTGGGGCATCCTGGACCGAAGTGATCCAGGCTGGGGCCTCAGCCTGGCATCCCCTCGCCAAGACAGGGCGCCTGCTGGGTCCCGGGCACCACCGTGTCTTGCCAAATGAGCCACCAGCCCCTTTTGCAAAGACAATAAAATAAGCCACCTCTTTAGATACATCCCTGGCCCCTGATGGTAGATCAGGGAGGGGTGGGGATGGTTCCAGGAATCCTGGGGCAGAGGCGCTACCTGGAGATGCTTTTGAAGGCAAAGGGAGAGGGAGGGCATAAGCACCATAATCCTCAGGGTGGCCCGTGGAGGGACCTGGAGCTTCTGTGGTGTTTGTCCAACTGGTGAGGCTGGTCTCCATACGCCTAGCACCTCACACACTGCCTGGCCCGCAGCATGTTTAATAAGTCTTTATTCAGCAAAAGAATGAAGCGTGTAGGCGGCAGCTTGGTTCTATCCAACAAATGTTTTATTAAGCCCCTACTGTGTGCATGGTACCCAGGATGCAAAGATGAGAAACAGCAGCCCTGCCCTTCAGGCAGCTTACTGTCCAGGGCAGGGGGGCTTGGCCTGAAGTGCATAGACCCCTCAGGGGCCCGGGGAATAGATTTCACAGAAGTTCATGGGAACTTTGATGAGAAAAAAAATTAGATCATTTTCACTAATCTCTTCTGAAAGCTAGGCAGTCAATCCATCATTGCTTATTAAGTACCTACTGTGTGCTCGATACAAAGAAAGGCCAGAAACGCCTCTGTCCTCAAGGGGCTCACAATCTAACTTGGATTTTCCTTCCAGTTTTTAAAAATGGAGAAGGGGTCCGGGAGGCAAAGAAGTTGGTGTCAGGCGGCGGTTCTGAGTGCTCAAGATTTCAGGGAGTACACAACAACCCCAGGACTTTTCGATCTAATTGGGTGACCCCACATAACCTACGGAAAAGAGCATTTGCCCCTTGGAGGGTGTTCACTATGACCAGATGAAGTCCCGAGCTCCCTGAGCCGCGGTTTTCTCCTTTATAAAATGAAGAGGGTTGGATTTTTGGATCTTGGAGCCCGCAAGTGCATGGTGGGAGGGGGCCTTGCAGATTGGAAAAGATCTCCACTGGGCCAGACAGCCCAGAGGTTCTGAAGAGGGAGTCTGAAGTGCTGAGGCCACCTCTAGGAATTTACCAGTGACCTTTGGCCTTAAAGAGCCAGACTGTCTTCAAAAGTTTGGTGAGCCTGAGGGGCAGTGGCTGAGCTGGAGCTTGGGAGCTGAGAGCCCAGCCCAGCAAAGGCCGATGCTGCTTTTGGGGTGGCCTTGGGCAGATCCCTTCCTCAGTTTCCTCACCTGGACAGAGGAATTTGTACTGAGTTTAAGGGCCCTTCCCTCTCAAACTCTGCTCCTCATGGTCAAGGAGATCTGGGTTTGAGGCCCAGTGCTTACACAACTCACTTACAGGCTAGGACTCAGTTTTCCTATCTGTAAAGTGAAGGAGGTGGGATTAGACCCAGGTTCTAATCCTTCTTGGGGTATGGACTTCTCTGACAGTCTGGTAAAATCAATGGAGCCCTTCTCAGAATCTGGTTTTTACAAATAAAATACTTAAGTTTACAAAGGATACAAATTACACAAAACCCAAGTTCAGGGTCCAGGAAAGCTCCTTCTCGAAGGACTGTGTCCACCCAGGCATGACCCAAGCCTAGGTGCTCTGGGATGCAGAGATCTGGGATTGCTTGGTTAGTGCCCTCCAGGAATTTGTGATCAGTGCCAGAGCTCAGAAAGTGTCCTTGGGACTGAGGGGCCACCCTGGTGGGAGATGCCCTTGGGTTCCCCAGGGATCGGACTCTGCAACGGGACCCATAGTGAAAGGTGCTGTTTTTGGGGGAGTCAGAGGACCTGTGTGTATTTCCTGGTTCTGCTGCCTGGGTGACCAGGTGACGGGGGTGAGTAAGTCACAGGGCCTCAGATTCCTTCTGTGCAAAATGAGAGGGTGGGATGGTTTCTAAAGTCTAAGTCGTGGGTGTCCTCGATTAAGGTGGGGAAAGGGGGTGGTAGGTTTTGAGGGGGAGGGGCTGAGGTTGACGGAATGCCGGGGGAGGGGAGGGAATGGCACCATCTCCCAGACCAGTGCCCTGCTTGGGTCCTAGAGGGTCCGAGGCAGTTGTTTTCTGCTCAGTCAGTATTTCAGGGGAAGGTGGGAGGAGAAGAGCGTGGGATGATTTTGGGCTCACAGACCGAGACCCCACTGGTGACCATCAAGTCTAGCTCTATTGTTTTACAGAGGAGGAAACTGAGGCGCAGAGGATAAGTGACCTGCCCAGGGTCACCCAAGTAGCAAGTACCAAGTTAGTTGGGGTTCTTTGCTGACCCCTTCCCAGATCAGAGATTGTCTTGGAGGTTCATGGGCTTTCAGTGGAAGCCTGGTGGTAGGGCCTGGAGTCATAGGGTCATTATATGGACACACTGTATTTAAAAATTATCATCTATGACATACATATGTATATATGCATTATGTGTCTGGGCATGTAGATGGCTGTGGATTTTGAGCCAAAAAGTACTTCAACACCCCCATTTTACAGAAGATACTGGGGCTCAATGAATTTAAATGCCTTGCCTAGAGTCACACAGCCCTTAAGGGCCAGAGGCAAATTTGAACCCAGGCTGTCCTGACTCCAAGTCTCCCACACTATTCCTCAGCTGCGCTGCTTCTCTGTTCTTGACCAGGCCTAAAGTCCTTCACCTTTGTAGACCTCAGTTTCCTTATCTGCAAAATGGGAAAATTGACACCTGCACTTGTGAAGAAAATAAAGCTGGTGGCATGAAAGCGGTTCCTCTGAGGGCTGTCCTGCCATTGGCCAGAGGCAGAATCCTGTCAGAGCCTTGGCGGGGCCCTGACTCAGGACTCAGAGCAGGCTGGATCTAGAATGGGCCAGACCCGTTCCCTTGTTCTTCAGCGGGGGCCCAGAGAGGGAAGGGGACCAGCCCCACATCACACAGGAGGGGACTGATCTGCACCCCTCCAGTCTGGAGCCAGGGAGCTTAGGGGGTATGTGTTCAGGAGGAAGAGCAGAAGGGGGTACCAGGAGATGCCGAGGTGGGTTGGGCAGAAGGAGCCATGAGGAAAGGAGAGAAATGATGTTTCCAAATGCTGGGGAGGGAAATAGAGAGAGAAGGAACTTCCGTGCAGTATTCCTCTCTAGAACCTGGACTGTGGGAGCTGGGAGGGAAGCTGGAGACCTGCCATCCCCACCTTTGGGGCCCAGAAAGGGGGAGAGCCTGTTAGCAGCCTTCCTCTCTAAATGCCCTTGGGGATCAGCCAGGTCAGCCTCCCTGCTTTCACAGAGGAGGTAACCAAGGCCCAGGCAGGCAAAGTGACTTGCCCAGGGTTACACAGTGTCAGAATCAAGATTTAGACTGGGGGTGGGGGGGCCACTGGTTCCAAATCCAGCCTGAGTTTTCATGATACCACATTGCATCATAACAGTGGGTAATCAAATGCATCAAACCAAGCATATTTTAAAATAATTTTTTTCAATTATCAAGCATTTATTTTTTTCTCCTTACCTCCCCCCACTGAAAAAAGAAAAGAAAAACAGTCTCGTAACAAATCTATAGAACGAATGGGGTACTCAGGCAGGAGCAGCACCTTGGGTTTCATCCAGCCTTCATGTTCACCCCACTCTAATTTGCGGTTCCAAGAAGCTGTAACACAGCCGCCACACTCCATAAACTGTCTCAGCAGATGGGCTAACTCAGGCTGAGGGCAACTGACAGGCCTCAGGTCTGTGGGTGAGTTGCGGGGAGTGTCTACCCCAGGCATATGAAGACTTCCTGGTGGAATGGGTGGGTGAGAACATTTTGTTCCAATGGCCGAAGGCGGCTTAGAGCTGGGTCAGACACTGAAGACTCCACGGTCACCTATTGCATCCTGGGCCGTCGCCAGGGGTCCTGACTTTTGTCTGGCCCCTGGACTGTGATGACTCAGGAAGAGAGAGTGAGACTGAGGCCTTTGCCGAACTGCCTCTCTTAAATCCAATTTATGAGCAAGTCAAGATATCACCTGTGCTGTCACTGGCCCTCTTCAAAATTGAACCTCCAACAACACAGAGTCAAGCAAAACAAGATTTGCACGTTGGCCAAGGGCACACTGCCCCCAGGCCATCAGTGGTCAGGAGCGGGAGAATGCTTCATCTCCGGGATTCTGAAATTGTGGTTAGTTATTGGTTCATCAGAGTTCTTAGGTCTTTACAGGGCAGTGCTTGCTGTACACATTGTCCTGGTTCTCACTTCACTGTGAATCAGTTCATATAATTATTCTGAAGTTTCTCTGAAACTTCCTTTTTCAAGTGGGGCATTTGTAAAGCACTCAGCACAAAGCCAAGCATGTTGTAGGTACTTAATAAATGCTTGTTTTCTCCTGCTTTCCTCCCACTCTTCTCTCTTCCTCTCTCCCCTATTCCTTTCCTGCCTCCCTTCTTCCTTTCCTCCCCCCTTCTTTCTTCCTTCCTCCCTCTCTCCTTTTCTTCTTTCCTTCCTTCCTCCCTCCCTTTCCTTCTTTTCTCCTTCCCTCTCTTACTTCCTCCTTCTCTTCTTTCCTTCCAGCAAAATAGGGAATGATCAGTGATCTGGGGACTTGAAGAAGAAGACTCTATCTGCTATTATAGTGACGCTGAATCTTTGTTAAGGGCATCACACAATCTCTTTTAATAGGAATGGCAAAGAGTAGTCGAGTTCTGAATGGGAGATATGGGTTCGATGCCCAGTTCTCCTCTTCACAGCCTTTATGGCCATGGGATGCTTCGGCTCTCCAAGGGGCCCTGGGGGGCCCACTATAACCAAGCCCCATTCAGATGCCGATCCTCTTCATTTGCGTGTGTCCCTTACTTTCAACATCCTATGAACCTGTTGAGGGAGGCAGCTTAGCCCCAGGGCTTCGGGGCAGAGCTGGGCCCCACAAATCAGAACCAGGAGTATTGAAGGGACGGTGCAAAGAGGCAGATTTAGGCTCCAAGTCATGAAAACCTGGTTAGCACGAGCGAGCTGCCCCAGAAGTCCCGGGCTCGCTCTCTCCCACCCAAGGGAGGATGGATGACGGATGACCACTTGTCGGCCGTTACATCGGAGACTGCTTTTCTGGGTCTGGCTGGACTAGAAGGTCCCCGAGGGCGCTCTGACCCAAATTCTGTGCCTCTGAAAATAACACCGAGTTGGGAGGGGTTTTCGAAAACCGGGGTTCGTCCCGATTTGCACCCCATCTTTTTTTTTCCCTCCAGGTAATCAATGCTATGTTAGTTTCAGGTCGGCATCCCCTTCCCCCCCCCCGGAGAAATCCAATGCACGAACCCGTAACAAATACGCAGCGTCGAGCAAAGCCGTCTGTCTCCCCCGTTGCCCAAGCCCCCCACGCCCCAAAGGGGCCTCCATCTGCACTTGAACCCATCAGCTCCGTCGGCCCGCGTTAGGGTTCAGCTCCGCTCGATCTGGGACCCCCGAGGCCCCTAGCAGGGCTACAAAGAAAACCTGGCGCATTTGGAGGGGTTAGTGACTCACTGTCCCCATCTTACAGATGAGGAAAGTGCCCGGTCCCGGGTCCCCCGCGAGGAGTGGCGGGGCTGGGGCTGGAAGCCTGGTGGGCGGGAGCCCCCCATGACACCATGCCCCGACCCGCGGTCCGCCCAGGTAGCCACCGCCTGGCAGGTGTACGACTCGCGGGGGAGGGGCAAAGGACTGCCGGTTTCCAAGACGAGCTACGGGCGTATCCCATCTTCACTGGGGTCTGGGGAGGGGGAGGGGCGAGGAGGGCGGGGTGCACGGAGCGTGGGAGCAGAAGGAGCGCTGAGCTCACGCTGCCGCGTGGGGTAGGAGGAGAAGGCGGAGCGGCCCCTTTAAAGCCGGGCGGGGGCGGACGGCCGAGCCCCAGCCGCTTCCCGCTCTGATTCGCTGCGGGGGGGATGGGAGGGTGGTTCCAGAAGAGGGCGGGGTCCGGCCATGCAAATAGGAGCTGCTGATCGGTGACGCACCATCACCCCACGCGCCGCGCCGCCAGCCCATTGGCCGCTGCCAACCTGGTCTCACTGACAACAAACAACGGAGCGCGCGGCCGCTGGGCGGGGCCGGCAGGGGGCGGGCCCGGGGAACCCCGCCCGCGAGGCCCCGCCCCCTCCCCGAGACATCCTGGGGCCGCGCGAACATGGCGGCGGCTGGTGTTGACCGGTGAGGCGGTGTCCGACTGGGACAGAGCTTGGGGACATGGGCGGCGGCCGCGGCGGCGCCGCCTCCGCGTCTCGCTGAGGACCGGGCGGGAGCCGAGAGCTCGGCGTGCAGAGCCGGGAGATGGAGGCGAGCGGCGGCGAGCTGGGCGCTCTGGAGACCATGGACACCCTCACGGAGCTGGGGGACGAGCTCACCCTGGGGGACATCGACGGTGAGTGGCGGCCGCGACTGCGCCTGCGCGCCCCCCCCCCCCCCGGTCCGCCCTGCCCCCTCCGCTACCCCTCCCTCTCCCCCTCCCCCGCGGCGGTCCGGAGCAGCGGTCTGCTCTGCTGCCTCTGTCCGGCCCCGCGGCGGTCCCCACGCCCACGGAGCCTCGCCCCCCGGCGCCGCTCCCCCGGCTCCCGCCCCCCACGTGCAGCTGTCACGCCACGAGCGCCGGGGCCGGGGGCGGCCCCGTTTCAGCGGCGCTTTTGCGGGGATCCAAGTTGACAGGAGTCGGTGCCCCTTTGCCCGGGGTGGGGGCGATCTGGTGCCGACCCCGGCCTCGGCCGTCGGGGCGATGCCCAGTGCCGGGATGCCCAGCCCCGAGCGCTGCTGGAGGCACCCCAGAGCCGGCGCCTAGTTGGGGAGGGGGACCCTGCTGGGGGTAGGGCGCAGTCCGGGGATCGCTCCCGTGCTTGGGGGCCGTGGAGAGGGAGGCCGGCCGCCCCCACATCCACGTGGAGACGTCTTAACATTTACCGAGTCCTCTAAGTAAGAGGCGAGATCTTAGGTGAGGAAGGGGCCCCTGCGTGTCCTTGGGGCGGCGGAGCACAGGACTGAGCCCTTCCGCGGAGATCTTCATTTGACAGATGGGGACACTGAGGCCTGGAGGGGCACACAGCTAGAATTTGAACCCAGATCTTCGGACTCCCAAACCTGGAGCCCGGATTGTGCACATGCCGGTAGAGGCCGTAGGTGTGAGAGACGTAGAGAAGAGTCTTTGAGGAAGTTGGGGTGGGGGGGGGTCAGGTTACTTTTCGACTTGTTTTTAGGAAAGGGAAATGTGAAGCCGGGGCCTGCCCGTTGGGGTGCGTGGGTGAGTGGGCCCTCAGTTATGTCTGGGCGGGGCCAGCAGCTGTGGCTGATGAGCCCCCCACGGGAGTCCTCCCAGGTAGCCCTGGGTGCAGGTAGAACGGGGGCTCGGAGGGCAGGACTGCTTCTCCCCTCCTGCTGGCCCAGGGTCTGGCATGTAGCGGGGGCTTCCCGTTAGAGCGTTTTTTAGGGCGAAGGGAAGTAGCCAGGAGGACGGGGAGGAGGGCTGGAAGGGGACTGGCCCCGGGTGAGGGGGGCCTCGCCTTGGAAGGCCGAGGGATGAGGAAGAAAGCCGGCTCTTGGGCATCGAGGCAGGCGAGGTGAGCTGAAAGGAGCCTCACTTTCACCACGAGTTACTTGGGCTGCTAGGGGACCCCGCACATGCTGGAGACCAGAGGAGGGAGGGATTCCGGCTGGGGGCCTGGAGAGGACAGCCACCAAAGACTGACTGCAGGTTCCAGGCCTGATACCGGACCCAGCGCATTGCAGAGGAGTGGGTGGGCTGAAGCTCTGGTCTCAGGAGTGAGATGCAGGAACTTCCAGGATGAGGTTTTGTGGGTGAGAAAGTCCCAGAACATGATGGTAAACATGACTGAGGGGAGATCATGGGGGAAGGTAGCAGGGTAATGTGTCGTTGGAGACTGGGGGATGGCCATCATGACCCATGATTAGGACTGGGGGGGGAGGGAGAAGGCCAGCAGCCACTTTCTGCCATACGGCCTGGCCTTAGAAGAAAAGACTTCTGTTCTTCTGAGCCATCTTCTCCCTGTTCCTGCCTGGGTGTGTGACCCCCCCCCACACCTTCTCCCACACTGCTGGCCACCCCAGTTCCAGCCCTGGATCCTTAGCCAGAGTGGATACTGGGCGTGGTAATCCAGGTCTGTTGGGCCTGGCCACACCGGCTTTCCCTTCTTACTTTCACCCACTTTGGGGCGGGAGTGCCCCGGTGTCTTGGGACCACATCTCCTCTTGTCCAGGCCTTGGCCTCCCTAACCTCGCCCTTGACAAACATTTCCCTAAGCCACACCTCTCCCATTGGTTATTCCCCCCCCAGAGGGGGATGGGGATGAGGATGAGGACAGGCCCGGCTCTGGGGAGCTCTCTTTAATTAGTCTTTAGAGCTGGCTGGGTACTTTGTCCCAGTGCCTCATTTACACCAGAGAAAGCAGTCTCAGAGAGAAAAGGGGAGCTTGAGAGACCAGGTGCAGGGAATGGAAGCAACACGGGGTGGTGGGAACGAAGCAGAAGAGGCGGTCTCTCCGGGCCTCTGCTTTCCCCTCTGCAAAATGGGCTCCCAGGCCCTTGACTAACTCAGCTTGTCCTGTTAACTCTGGTTCCGTGCAGGGGGCCATCCCCCTCACTTTGCAGAGAGGGAAACTGAGGCCCAGAGAGAGGGGAGTCACGCAGGTAGTTAATAGCAGAGCCAAGCTTTGGGAGGCCTGTCAGCATTCAGTTCATAGAACACAGATGTAGAGCTGGGAAGGGCCTCAGGTCATGGCAGGTGAGGTGCCAGCCACAGGGCTCAGGGCCGGGACTACCTCCCACCACCCTCCACTTACTTACTGACTGTCAGAGGTCGGTCATTTTTTTAACTTGGGCCAACAGGTCACACAGCCTACCTAGATCCAGCGCCCTCATTTTACCAGTGAGGAGCCTGAGGCCCATCCAGATAAAGGAAAGACTTGCCCTGGCACCCGTAACTGACACAGCACCCTCAGGCCTTTCGCACAGCCGTGTAGAGCTGAAGCATGGATCGGCTCCTTTGTTTCTACCCAGAGTCTGGAGGTGATATCTGTCAGGGGCCTGATAGCCCATTTTAGGGAGGAGAAAGTAGAGACCCAGAGAGGCCACCTCTTCTGCTGGGTCCCCACCACCCCATGTTGCTTCTGCTCTCTGCTCCTGGGGCAGCAGAAAGAGGTTGGTTTTCTGGCCTCTCTGTTCTAAGTAGGTCTGGGCTTTCTTCAGCCTTCCTGGAAAGGACGTCCTACATTTGGCCCCCCTCAAGGTCTGGATGCAGGATCTGGGGTTGGAAGGGGCCTGAGAGCCTGTCTGGGCCACCCCTCTCTCGTTTTCCAGAAAAGGAAGCTGAGACCTGGGGAGGGGCACAGGGTTGGCAGGTAGCAAGGTGGAATTCGAACCCAGGCCCTCTTGACTCCAGAGCCAATCCCCTGTGCCATGTGGCTGTGTGTGAGAGGGAGGGAGCCAGACAGACACTGCCTTCTGGATGGGCTTTCCCAGTGCAGCCCTTGCTGGGTGAGGACCACCATTGTCCTAAAAGGGATTGTCTTTTCTTTTTGGGGAAATCCAGTCCTAGGATCTGCTTTTATGCCACTGCTCCTCCAACTCCTCAGGCCTGCACACTCCACATGCCCCTGGCAGTGGAGGGGAGAAAGCCCTGGACTGGGAGTCTGGGAGACCCCAGTTCGTATTGCGGCTCACGCAGTTACTAGCTGTGTGACCCTGAGTAAGTCACTTCACCTCTGTCTGCCTCAATTTCCTCATGTGCAGAAAGGGCTGTTGGGAGGATCACAGGAGATTACCTATGTCATGTCCCTTTAGCAAACCTGAAAGGAAGAATCTCCTGTCACTTAGATTGTAAGCTGTGGGAAGGCAGGCACTTAGACCTGTTTCTTGGTAACTTGGTGGCGTTTGGATTTCTGTTATTGGGGGGAGGTGTGGACACTGTCCTTAAGTTTGCCGCCCTTTGGGTAGGTGAAATCTGGCCGTGAGCATGTCTAGATCGGGACAGTGTGACCAAACCAGCTTCTCTTGGAGGTGGGTTTTTAAGCATGGCCCCTCCTTGCTTGGTTTCCCGGGCCTGCTGTGTTAGGGGAGGGGGGCCGACCCTGCGTCCTGGGTTCACAAGCGCTCCTGGATCTTCTGGCCACCCTCTCATCATCCTGAGGCCCTGAGGTTAAAGTGGCCAGCCTGAGAGTCAGGGAGGGTGAGGCAGAGCCAGAGGCACCCCCGGCAGCTGACTCCCCTACCCCACCATGCAGCAGTCAGTCAGCAAACACCCTCCCATAAGTGCAGGGCGAGCCCTCAGGGGCTCCTAGCCACTTATTAAGCCAGGTGCAGCCTGGGCCCTCCAGGGGCTTACTATTGGGAGTGGGGAGAGAACCTGCGGCCTTAGAACAGAGAGCTTCAGTTCCCAGAGACTCGTCAAGTCGGGCCCTTTTTGTCGAGGACGATTCTAGAACAAGCATTTATAGTTTAGCTTTGGAGAGAGGCCTGCCTTTGGTGGGGCTGGGTGGGGGAGCTTGCTCACAGAAGGCCTAGTCACCGGGAGACTGAGTCTCCTGGGCTCTGGGTTCTACCCGTGTTGACATTGTGGGATTCTCAGGGAGTGGCTCCAGCAGCAGCCTGGGTCTAAAGGTGGAGCTCACAGGGAGTCTTGTTCCAGCAGGGAGCCTTCCCTTTAAAGCCACAGCCTCTGAAAGGCCCTCTGATCAGTGAGCCCCGCCTGAGAGGAGGGTGGGGGTCTTGTAGGGCCTTCCACCTCTGAGGTGAAATCACTAGGCAGCGCAGTTCACTTGGACCGGTTTAACTCTGGGTCGTGCATCTGGGCTCGTCCGGTGGAACAGGTCTGCCCAGGGCGCTTCTTGTTCTTGTTTTGGAGCATGATACAAATTAGAGGTAGTGAGGAAGCAGATTATGAAACTCCTAGTGATACTCAGGGCTTTCCCTCAGGCCTCTCCCAGCCCCTGCCAGGGGTGGGGAAAGCAGCCTGGGCCAGAGAAATGTGGGGGCCATCGGTCTGGCCCAGGAAGCCCCTGGGCAGGTAACCCTTCTCCTTTCACCACTCCTCAGAGACACTTTTGAGGTGGGAGAGGCCTTAACCAAGGTTCCTTCCCCCTCATTCTGTGGATGAGGAAAGTGAGGTGGGGGAGCGATCCTCCCAAGGCCAGGCCTCCTGACAGGCAGTGAATGTTCCCTTCCCCACTCTTTCCCTTCCCATGTGGTGCCTAGAGACGCTCCCTCCCCCAGCACTGATTCCAGGCATAGACCCTCCAAGGCCAAAGGGACCTGAGGGGTCTTTTTGTCCAGTCCCCTGCCTCTCCTCTCATCTCCTTGAGGAGGCCTCTCTGGTTCCCTGTGCTAGATACCTTACCAGACCAGTGAAAACCAATCCGACTG